GCACCAAATGCAAGCTCAGCCAGCATCCTTCTTGAAACTCCACTTCTAGCTCTCAGGACACCATTCTTCTCTGGTCCTTCTATAGTCTTCACAAACTCTCTTTTTCTCTACCAAAACCTAAAATGCTGTGTTTCCCAAACATTTCTTTTTACTTAACAAACTTCCTAGAGCAGCTTTCTCCAGTGCTTCACTTAACAAAACACCTTTTAAATACTAATAAGACCCCCAAAGTTACATATCCAGCGCTGATTTTTTCTAGCCTTATTCTCTAGCTGCAACCAATGTTCTATTGATACTTTCAAATTAAAAATATCCGAAAGTTGGGATCTTATTTGTTCCATATCACTCCACTAGTTGCTTCTCTTAGTAGCTACCTTTGATAGTAGGACAACCAGATCTTTACATCAAACACCTTACTTCAAAATCATTAAATCCCATCAATTTTCAGTTTTTGTTTTTCATTCGTTCCTCCTCTCTAAGTCCTCTGCCACTTACCTAGTTCAGGCCTTATAATAGAAAGGCAGTCTTTGAAAGCTTTGCTAAATAAGCTATATTTGAGGTGGATCTTAGATGATGAGCAGGGGAACTTTAGATCTAGAAAGGAGAGCAGGATATCACAGGAAGACCAGCTTGTACAAGTCAAAGACAGATCAGATCACATTTGAGGAATGCTGGAGATGAGGCTTTAAAGGAAGATAAGCTGAGGCCAGATTGTATAACCTTTTTTGTTTGTTTTTAAAAATTTATTTATTTCAGAGAGAGAGAGTATGTGTGCACGGGTGGGGAGAGGCAGAGGGAGAGGGGAAGCAGACTCCCTGCTGAGCATGCAGCCTGACTCGGGGCTTAATTCCAGGGCTCTGAGATCATGACCTGAGCCGAAATCAAGAGTCAGATGCTCAACCAAGCCACCCAGGTGCCCCCAGATTGTACAGCCTTAAATGCCATGCTAAGGAGGCTTAATTTTGTAGAAAGGGAGCTATTGAGGACTTTAAACAGATGTGTCAAAAGGAGCTTGTGTTTTAGAAAGATAAATTTGTTTTATCAGAAAGAAGGTCCACTAGTTCCGAACTTCAGGCATTTGGAAACATGTGGGGACATTATTTATACGTCACAATAACTGAGGGATGCTACTGGCATCTAGCAAGCAAAATCCAGGCATGCTGATGTCCTCTACTGTAGGGAGTGGTCTCGCACAATGAACATCCTTCCCCAAAAGCCAGTGGGACCTCCACTGGAAAACACTGAATTTCTAATTGAGTTAAGCATTCAGTAAATGTTTATGATGATGGGGTTTTAAAAAATAAACATTTAAATTTATACACACCTAGTTTTTTAAATGCCAGGAATAAATCCCTATTCAGTAAGCTTAGAAAGTAGTAAAAAGAATACTGCCCAATTAAAGAGGGTTCTACTTCAGATGATGGCCCAGTAGCTCTTTCAGACCAATCCTTGAACAGATAAAACCACAAATACTGGACAAAGTACAGAAATGGAAAGCAACCCAATAAAGGCTGACCAATAATATTTTTCAGGCTGACATTGAAGAGAATACTTGGAAGAAAAAGCTAGAGTTGGATGAATTTCCCATTTTATAGTTTTTGCCTAAGGGCAGCCCCTAGTCTGCATCACTGGAGCCTTTAGTTTTACTGACTTGAAGAACCATGGAGCAGAGTTTGGGGGCAATAGTAGCTGCAAGAAAATGAAGAAAGAAATAATGGCAAGAAAAGAAGAGTGAGCACCCTAATTTCTGTGTATGAACTGTGCCCCAAACTCTGGCTTCTCTCTGAGGTATGTACACACAGAAAAGATTCCAGGTTAAAGAAGTGAACTGACATTTGAGCTACTTCAGGGCAATAAGAGATTGCAACTGAGTTCTGCCAGTTAACTTCCAGCTTTAAAAAGAAAAAAAAAAAAGTCTTTGGAGAAACTATCATAATACAGGGTTTCTACATATTTTACTTGCTGTGTCTAGGATGAAGTCTAAATTACTAACATATGAAGAAGAAACAGGAAAATATAATCTATTCTCAAAAGAAGAGACAATCAAAGAAGATGAAATGAGCAGATAAAGACTTAAAGCAGCTATTTAACTATGTTCAAGGTTGTAAGGGAAAATGGGCTTACAGTAAATGAAGATAGGAAATCTCAGCAGCACAGAAATATAAATTATAAAAGTGAAGGAATTTCTAGAATCAAAAAGTATAGTAATTAAAAAATTTCATTGAATGAGCTTAAAAGAAGAACAATTACAGAAGAGTAATGTCCTAGAACAGAGATCAAGAGAAATAATCCAACTGAAGAAAAGAGGAAAAAAAGATTAAAAAAAAAAAAGATCTGTAAGATGATATCAAAAGTTTTAGCACATGTGTAAAAGAGACTGAAAAATATTTGACAAAAGAAAACTGTCAGAGGAAAATGGAATTTTATACACACAGGGAGAAAACAATTTGAATATACCAACTTCTTACTGGAAACAATGGAGGCCAGAAAACAGTGGAGGAGTATCTTTAAAGTGTGAAAGGGGGGAAGAAACTGTCAATGCAGAATTATATATGCAGCAAAAGTACTCTTCAAAAAGGAAAACAAAATAAAGACATTTTCATGTAAAAGGAAACTAGGATAATTAACTGCTAGCAGACCTAAGTGTCATAGATGTTAATATTTTTCAGGCTGACATGAATGATACTACAAGGAAACTTGGATTTTCAGAAAGGAATAAAAGCATTAGAAGTGATAATGTGGGTCAATATAAACGAGGGTTTTTTTCCCCCTTGTTTAAAGTCTATACAACTACTCAAAGCAAATTATTACCGTGTGGAGTTTGTAATGTATGCTATCTGTAACTCATATGACAACTATAAAATAACAAACGGAGGAAGTGGGTAAACACTCCTGTATGGTTACAAGGCTTCTATATTTTATGTGAAGTGGTACAAATATTAACTGTAAATAGGTTGTATCAAGTCATATATCTTGATATGGGCTTGGTTTACTCAAGTGTATGTATTTATTAAGATTCATTGATTAGTATACTTCACATTTATGTATTTCACTGAATGCAAATTTTACCTATACAGAAAAAAAAATTTTAAAAAGTGGATCTCTAGCTAACAATATACAAGTTGAATTCTATAGGAAGAAAGAGTATTCTGAGGTCCGAAACCTGTATTACCTGTATTAAAACAATAAGATAGGTTGACTGATGGACAGAGGGATGGATAAATATGAGCTAAAGTGAATGCAGTAATATTTTAATTGTAGAATCTACATAGTGGTTATATACGTATTTTCTGTAAAATATTTTAATTTTTATATGTTTGAAAATTTTCATAAGAAAATGTTAAAAAAAAGAATTCTGCCAATCTACATTTATAATCAGGTCAGGGTGGAAAAAATAAAACAGGAAAAAGGGGGAAAACTGAAATGGAGCGCTGTGAATTGTGTAAGACTGTTGAATCACAGACCTGTACCTCTGAAACAAATAATACATTACATATTAAAAAGAAAAAAAAAAGAAGAAGAAGATAGCAGGAAGGGAAGAATGAAAGGGAAGGAAATCGGAGGGGGAGACGAACCATGAGAGACTATGGTCTCTGAAAAACAAACTGAGGGTTCTAGAGGGCAGGGGGGTGGGGGATGGGTTAGCCTGGTGATGGGTATTAAAGAGGGCATGTACTGCATGGAGCACTGGGTCTTATATGCAAACAATGAATCATGGAACACTACATCAAAACTAATGATGTAATGTATGGTAATTAACATAACATAATAATAAAAAATAAAATAAAAAAAAAAAGAAGGAAAGAAAAGAGTAAAGTTAAAACAGGGGTAGAAAGAACCCAATGGTAAGGGAGAGATAGGGATAGAAAAAAAAAAAAAAAGAAAAAGTAAAGGAGATAGAGAGGGCAAGATGCCTGCCATTCATGGGAAAATAGAAATGATAAAATGTTATCATTACTGTTGGTCTTCTGAAACTTTCCAATAAATTAGTTTTGAAGTTAAAAATTACAAAGAAGCATTTTGTCATGGAATTCAAAATTATGCACATGTGAAAATTTAGGTGTTTTCCTCAAGATCTGAGAACTTGTTTACTTCCAGTCTAAAAGTCCCTTTGACTTCTGAAATTGTCTGATTATCTTATGTCTTGTCATTGAAAATTCTATAGGATATCACTTGTAGTTATAATATTACCAACCACTATTTACTTAGGACCAGATCTGGAAAGAAGCTGGGACTGTGCACTTCTAGTAAAAAGTTTCTAATCCTCCAAGTTCCACCCCCTAAACTAGCAGCTCTACTCATCACATAGTGTCTCATTTCAAAGCTGATGCTTTTCGCTTAGCAGGATTCCCAAGAAACTTCTGACTTACCATATAAATGTACTGTTCTTTATCATTTCAATGCTAAGTGTTTCATAATTAAATAATTGCTAATTAAGCTATGCTTTCTACATTTGCCCTCCAAGAAGCAGTATTTTTCCTTTTGTTACCAATCATGTAACATCTATGAAGGCAGGGCCCATGTCTAGGTATCGCTACTACCTAGCACAGTGTCTAGTACACTGAAGGTCCTTGGTAAATATTTTTGAATGAATGAATAAAGAAAATTTGTTCATTCACAATACTCCTTTCTCAACTGATTCTAAACAGAAATTTTCAAGTTAAGAGAATGGTAAATTTTGACTAATTACAAGAGATACAAGTTTTAATAACATTTGTTCCTAGGTATGGGAATCCTAGATTTTAACATATTTTGCTATCTCAAATAGTTTAAAGGACTTATTGAGAAATGACTAACCCAGAACTTTTAAAAATGGAAAGTCAAGTGATGAATTTATATTATAAAAATAAGTGCCTGTTTTGCTTACTAGTAATAAATTAATATTCTTTTCAAAGTTCAAAGGAAAGAGAAACTGGTATTGGTTTTTATCCAAGTCAGATCCAACTTTTATGAAGACAGTCATAAGCTCAGATCAGAATCAAATAAATTTCAGAACTCAGTTTGAGAGAAAAAGGAAAGGCTTTAGTTAAAATCTTTACAATAAAATAATTATGATTATAAATCTCTTTAGTTAAATATGTACACATTAAATGGTATTTTAAAAAAGAATGAAAATGAGTAGTTTTTCAAGCAAATCTAATGCACAAATATACCATCTTTAGAGTATAATGTCAGTTTAACATTCTTAAACAGCTGTGTCAGACAATGGCTCTGCTTTGTGCAAAACATGATAAGCAAAATTAAGAAAAGTTCTGCAAAATTATTTAGTTCCCCAAGGAAATCACTAAAAAAGAAAATAGTAAAAGAAAAAAATGGTATACACTCGAGCTTGATTGTATACAGAGGCTAGAATGACCAGCACTAATGTAACCCCCATATCTGCTAAGTAAGTCCTTGGGTAACTTTAGTTTGAAGTTAATAGTTGAAGTCCTAGCAATTGTGCTTTTATGCAGCCACATGGCCAATAAGGTAGATGTTGTCATAAAGGTGCCCTACAAAATCTTCACTAATGTTTTGAGCAGCACGACGGGTATTTCGAATAAATTCTCTTTTTGACATTTTATTCTTCACATGAGGGCTAGTGAGGTCAATGGAAAGTAGAATCAAAGAGTAGCACAGGACATAGACAGCATCTGGAATTAAAAAGAAACACCTCAAATTAGTAGGTGGTTTGAAAAATGTGGTCCCAAAGGCATTATCTAATGCAAAAATTTTCATAATTTAAAGAAATTGAGATTCAATCATAACTAAACAGAGAATGGCCAACTCATCCCAGTTTGCCTGGGCCTCTTCCAGTTTTAGCACTGAAAATCCCGTGTCCTGCGAAACTCTTCAGTCCTGGACAAATAGGGATGGTTGATCATCCTAACTGACCACCAGTTCGTGAGTATTTCCTTCAACTCATAAAGCATTTCAGAGTAATTTAGGAATTTATAGTGAAAGCTCATTCTAAATATAAAAATTTCAGAATTGGCTTTATTTTCATCTTTGCTTTCAAATGTGATACTCCCACTCAACTATCCATAAAATACACCTGTACCGTTAGTATATTTATCTTCCCATTCAAAAAAAAAAAACAACCCACATATATATTTACATAGAATGTTTTTTATAAAAATCTAATTGGAAAATATTTAATGACAAAGACATATATTAACAGTCCTTGAAAATAAAATGTAAACAACTTATAAGATTATTACATTAATATTCTCGTTTGACATATGTATTTTTAAGGTCCATGGAATTTACGTATTAATTTCAGAAGTAAATTTTTAGGGAAAAGATTGCTAAACCTGAGCAGCATGCAACAACAACAACAAAATGTCTTTATATTTGCCCAAAGCAATATCTGATGTTTACTATCAAAATAGTAACAAACCTCAAGATACTTATTATTATACGCTACAACTACTTGCTACTACTATGGGGTTTTTATTTCAGAATCCTGCAGGCTTAATAAAACAAAGTTAAATATTATGTTTTATAAAAGCATTTTCAACAAATTTCCTATGATGGGTAAATGTTTTGTAACCACCACTAAATCAATACAATACAATTTTTGAGATGAAGAGGTAAGTAAAGCTCTGTCAAATGAAAAAATACGTAGAATACTCACGTTATATTGCACGTACATAGATATATACTCATACACACAAATTATAAAGATTAGTTGTATTAAAAATAAATTTTTTAGTAGAACAATTCTAGGTGTTACCTATGTAATATGTGGACTATGAAAAGCTTTAAAAATAATTTCTCAAGTTTTTAGTTAAATTAGTAATATCCAATTCTCAATCAAGAATACTTTTAATAAATTTATAGCTAAGTCTAACTTTCTTCCTAAAACAGTGTTTACTACATATAAATGACAGCTATGATAAACTATTCTAAGCTCACATAAATGTTGTATTCTATAGAATTAGTCATTGCTGTAAGTAGTAAGAGAAGTATTTGTAATTACTGAAAGCACGTTTCCCCGTGGTGAGAAAAAAATGTCTCATATACTACTATTTTTACCTGGAGGTGGGAACGGGGCTGGAAGGAATTCACTATATATATTCTTACCAGGACTAAGGCCAAGTTCTCGCATTAAATCAGGGTTACAAGCACAGAATCTATGTGAGAACTTTGTTATGAGAGTTTCAAGATACTCCCCACGCTCTTCAGGGGCATGGATATGACGAAAAAATTCTCTCAGTGCATTGGGCAAAAATTGATTTCTAAAATTATGCAACGTTACAAGGTCATCCAAGACATCCCTCCTAGTGGAAAAAGAAAAAGACACAGCTTTAGTTAACATTTCTCTACTAAAAAAATGATAAGGACTCAAATTATGTTTTGGATGAAAATACTTTATTATTGATTCTCAGATCAGCTAATCCTACAAAGTATACATAATCCTTAAAATTAAAAAATCCAACTCTGATTATTTAAGACATTAAATAATTTTTAAATTTTTTGTGCATAGGTTATAACAAAGCAAGGTGAAACTAGTAATTCTAATTATAAAATGAAGAAAAAATAAATTTTGCAATATTAAAAGTGTCAGCTTCAAGTGTTTTTTTTGGCTAAATTCAAATAGCAATAGAATTCTTTATGTTTTTAACTCTGAAAATAAGAGTTTTCACTTTCCACAGCAATCCACACCACCAGAGGTAACAACTATTTATGTAGACTTTAAAAAGTGTCAACATATAGTATATGTTTTTCCTAGTATTTGCTTTTCTTATTTCATATGGTATACTGTGAACAGCTTTCTATGTCTTTACACACAGATCTAAATCATTCTTTTTAATGACTCAACAGTATTCCATCTTATGGAGGTAACAATTCTACTTATGTACATTTGGATTATTTACAATTATATAAATATTTGTGTAAGTATATGTGTATGTGTATACATATTTTTTATCAATGGCAATCTAATCAATAGTCATCCTTTGTAATACTATGCTTCAATTCTTGCTGAACTCAACCATGATTATATGATCATATCTTTAATTTCTATCAATTGTTTATGGTAGGGATAGGCAAATTATAGCTAGTGTGCCAAATATGGCCCACTCCCTATTTTTGTAAATAAAATTTTATTAGAACACAGCCATACTCATTTGTTTACATACTGTTTGTCTGCTTTCAGGCTACAATGGTAGTTGTAAATAGCTGTGAGAAAAATTTCTCAACTAGGTGACTGCTATGTGGTATAGTTTTAAAAGTAAAGCTTAACTCATTAAAAGCATTACTTAACTCATTTCTGATGAAAACTTAAATTTTTTTTTTACCTTTCATCAAGATAGATTCTCAGTTTTTTCCAATTTAGTGTTCTTGTACAGAAGATAAACTTTGCTATTTCCTTTGGTGAATCATCTAGGATACCCTTGGACATAAAGTAGTTCACTCCCTAAGGCAGAAAGACAAGTCTACATAAATAAAGTCAGTCTTTATTTATAAATTTTAACAATTAGGCAATAGCGGAACAATAGCCATAAATTCTGTCCAGCATTAATAGACTTTTTATAGCTTTAACATGCAAAATACAAGCTAGAACTTGAGCTGAAACTATTACTTGTGATTGATAGTTTACATGCAATGAAAAGTAGGAAATTCAAAGTTAAGACTCCTAAGGAAATCCTAATTCAATTTTCTGGCTCATGTCAGTTAAAACTAACTATATAGAAATACGGCTTATATGGTGCTGGTGGTTGGCAGGGGGAGGGGAAACTACTATGTAGACTTTAAAATAAGCCTTGTACCAAACACTTCCATTGCCTAATAGAAAACTTGATCTCTTAGACATATTCTAATACACTATTCAAGGAAAAAGCTTTTTGAGGAAAAAGAGATTCTCCAAATCAAAGATCAACAATTTTATTCTGTAAAGAAAAATAATTAAATTATTTAACTTAAAGTAAAGTAGGCACAGTTCCAGGTGGGTTTATGGTCTGTACACACTTTGGCTTTAAGCATCACTACATTCAATAAGAATTTAGCTTCAATATATAGTGAGGCAAAATATAATAAGACAAAACAATTTCAGTGTTTTTTCATAGGATTTATCTTTGAATTTCCTTCTCCCTGCATGCAAAGTTTTCCAGAGAAGCATTATCCACAGTTTGTACCTATTTTAGATTTAAATCAACAACAAAACATCAACAAAAAAATTGAACACTGAAACCAACGTTTTCTCATGTATATGGAGGTCACATTCAAATAAATACCTTATGTGGATTTGAATGTGCAGTTATTGAAATAAAAGGCAGGTGTGTTTATTTCAACTTGTAGTTATCCAGATACATGCATTCCCATGAATACTTATGTCTGGATAATAGCACACTGTGTGCAGTTAATTAGTAGAGAAAATGATGTATTATATACACGCAACATACTGTTTTCACACATAAATTCCTTCAGCATTTCTTCCCTTTTACAAACACATATAGTACTCAGAAATATTGCACTCATTAAGAATTCAAAAAGTTGGAAGAATTTTTATGAAAGACTCTTCAAGATAAAAAAGTCTCATAAAATTTTTGTATTAAAAAATTTAAAAAAGCAATTTGGTACCATGAGGTAATGCCTTTGAAAGGTTATAATTATCTGTAAATTATAATTCAAAGATAAGATTTTTTAACATAAAACTAATTTTATGAGCCATGAGGATAATGTCCTAATGACAATGTTATCAGTTTCTCATGTGAATCTTAATAGTACAAAAGCAGTGCTAAAGCACTGGATTAAAAAATGTGTCTGAGAAGAGCAGAACGTGATAATATGAAATGTTCTTGTCAACTCAATTGTAAGCTGTATCTCAGACTGCATCCTGGATAAAAAGGTTAGGAAATGTAACATGTTCAAGACAGAAAGCCAAAGAATTTGTTTGGAATGAGGCTCTCAGCAACTGAGGGGGCAGGAACTAAAGAAACAGTAATCCTTGTTCCATCCTTTCCTCCATTAGTTTGAATAATCGAGAGTTGACTGTATGTTTTAATTCATCTACTTAGTAAAAATTGTCAGGTTTGATTTTTTCCAAAATTCCTCCATTTAAAAGAATAACAATATTTCAGAAGCATTTGCAGCACTTAATTTTAAATCTAAGCTATTCAAACCCCAAGGAATGTCAACTAAATATTATTTAATAGGTTCTTTATCTATACCTACTTGTAAATCAATATTTAAGAGATGTAAAACTAAATCTAATCAATTTTTAAAATTATACAAAATAGTAAAAAAACACTAAATGATCCATTAAATAGTACATAATTCTCTAATTATATGACATATGCATTTTAATATCATTTGATGCTTAGTTACAAATTAGCATTGGTACTTGCCTCATGTAAGCATTCCTAAAATATGTTGTTGATAATTTCCTTTTTTAAGGAATACATGTTTTAAGACTTTAATCTCTCGCCTACTTTGAAGACTCCATAATCAATCATATACAGAAGAGTAAGCAAGAACACAAACAGCTTTAAACTCAGTCCTGAAAACGAGGGACACAGCTTGAAATTAGCCAACTCTATTGGTTTTATGAGGAAAGGAGGCATTAGCTTTCATGTCTGGGATTTCTCTGGAGAGGAAGATTACTTCAGAAGGGCTGTCAAAGTGATGGGTCGAGGGGTGTGAAATAGGAAAAGGCATGAAATCAGATTATAATTTTCTTCAATAAGCAAGCTGGCAATCGTCCAAATTCCTATCTTGTTAGGTAAGCAATGAACTACTAAATAAAACATAGTATGAGATTGGTTGAATAACTCTACATTTGTTTAATAAGTGGTGTAAGTTTTCATTTTTAATATAGTTTTAGAAGAATGGTACAGAGAGATGCCCAGGCCACATAGCATGTTACTAATCAGGACTAGAGCTCTCAGCAGAGTGAGAGTAAGCATGTAGTGTCTCACAGACAAAGGAAATCATGAACATTAATATTAGTCTATGCTAACATAGTTTCCAGAAAAAGGGAAGGCAGTAGCTCACTATTGTCCACATAATTCACTACAAAAGTGTCAGATTCTGGATGGCAGATTTTGTGGGGCATATTGACAAACTAGAATTTATCTGCATAAAGGAAATCAGGACCTGATTAGATTGTTGAAGGGTCAATCCCTGTTAGATAAGGAAGACTTGAAGGATGTACTGATATTAGGCCTAAAGAAGATACTTAGGAAAGAAGATTAAGACTTTAAGACATCTGAAAAGCTTTATCATAAGTAAAAAGAACAGACATTGTGTGTGGTTTTAGTGAAGATCTTAAGCTGATGAAAACTACAGAACTTCTTCCCAGAATAATGCACATACACATTTTTTAAATATACATTAAGTGCCTGAAGCCCATCTAAGGACTGCAGGTTAGGAATCCCTATTCTAGATGATGTAGGAGTATGGCTACTGAGTGTCTGTAATAGGGAGGGAGGTTAGTGCCATGTAAGGGAGGCTACACTTGCAATTACAGCTGAGTTGTTCAAGGCCAATGGTTTGTCATTTGCCTGATTCAAATTTTTTTTTTTTTTACATTTCCAAAATAAACCTAATCCTCAAATTATTACTACTTAAGTTTTTTTGATTGCTTAATCCATATACATGTTAACTCCATTATGCAAACTCTACACGGTTCAACTTGCAGAATTATCTGAATTGTTACCGCCATAGTGTAGTTCCTTTTCTTTCACATGGGAATAATTCTAAGACATTTTTGTCATATGACTTGAAGATAAATCATGATGGTGTCAGTCCTATAATGAATTGGCTCCATAGCATAAAGGGAAGTTTTTGTCATCTGGAAGAAGACTATTGACCAAAATGGATTTTACTAAAAAAAAATAGTTTTAAAGGAAAGTTATATTGGGATAAATGAAATTCGTATCATGAAAATTGATTTGGTATATATATTAAGATTCATATTTCTCTCATAAGAGTAAATAATATTCATATTACAAATCCTAAATTCCTTACTAATGTGATTTTTTTTAAGAGAGAGAGAGAGGGAGAGCATGTGCCTGAGCATGGGTGGGGTAGAGAGAGAATCAAGCAAGCTCCACGCTCAGTGCATACTAGGGGCTTGACCTCACAACCCTGAGATCATAACCTGAGCTGTGATCAAGAGTCAGATGCTTAACCAACTGAGCCACCCACGTGCCCCAGAAAGAGATATTCTTATAAATAATCATAAATATTAATTTGGAAAAAAAATCTAAAATTTTAAAATCCACTCTATAACTAGACAAATGGGTTAGTCTTTCTAGCTGCTAACAGGATAGGTGCCCCAGTAATGTGATTTTTAAAAGAAGTATCCATTTAACTTCAGATTTAAATATAAAGGTGAACACCCAAAGACTAGTTTGTAAAGTAGATATATGTATATCTGTGCATATGTGTGTATATATGTATAGATAGGTATGTAGGTACGTATCTGCTTTATTTTTTTTTTTAAAGATTTTATTTATTTATTTGACAGAGAGAGACACAGCAAGAGAGGGAACACAAGCAGGGGGAGTGGGAGAGGGAGAAGCAGGCTCCCGGCCGAGCAGGGAGCCCAATGCGGGACTCGATACCAGGACCCTGGGATCATGACCTGACCTGAAGGCAGACGCTTAATGACTGAGCCACCCACTTGCCCCGGTATCTGCTTTAAAAGCATTTCTGAAACATTGAGTCAAAACAAATATATTAAAATTATCTACATCTTCATTTAAAATGTATTAAGTGCAAGGGATATATGCAAGGTATTTAGTGACAGACACTGAGAAGTATAAAACATTTTTGCTCTAAGAAAATCTAAAGTTTATCTGGGGAGATGAGACAGGGACACAAATAAGTAGAATACGCATATGTGACAATCAATGACACAAGGCAGTTAAATAGGGCCTAAATGAAGAGGTATGAAAAATAAGCATTTCAGTAGTTCAGTGGAAGGAAAAATCACTGTGAGACAGGACATTTAGATAAGTTTTTCTGGAATATCTACTTTGAAAGAATCGTAGTGGTTTAAATAGCTCAGAATGAGGGGAACCCTGGAGATGAATATTTTAGTCAATGTTGTATTATATAAGCAAAAGCATTATAAGATAAAAAATCAGGCAATTTTCAGGAAAATAGGGGAACTATCTTGGGTTTGAGAGCCAAGTCTGGAACTAGACTGTAACAGGAATAGCAGTGAATGTAACGGTAAGGAGTTTATCTTCTCCCTTATATGTAATTGGAAGCCTCTGAAGGCTTTTTAACATAATGAAGCAATGGCCTGCAATATAAATTTGACAGTAATATAAAGAGAAATAATAAAAGGGAAATTAGACAGTAGGCTACTACAGTTGTCCAGGCTTAAAGCAACAGAAATGCAAAGGAAATAATCTATCCTAAAAACATATGAAAAACCCCACATATGCTATGTATGTATATGAAAAT